CCCTGTCCGGTTTGGAACAACTACACATTTGTTGGTGCTTCTAGTTGGGGTCCGTATGGTAAGGATGACGGTCTAAGCGACTTACTACAAGAGCAGACTACAATGGTGACAGGATCTACCCTCTGCCCTGAACCCAACCCTGCGCAACCCGAGTCCCTCGTCCCTCAATTTGCTGCCGAAACCTCAAAGACGGGTTGGGGGTGAAGGACATTCACGCATGCAGGGCTACAGAATCGTTATCACTCGAAACCCGGGTAAATGGAACGCACACTTCTGTTTGAATTACAACGCCGCCGATGAATATGTCGCATAGGTATCATGCCGCTTGTATATGTCTCTACATCTACAGAAGCTCACAGCAGGGCATGCTGTGCATATGTAATGGAATATGTTGGCTGTTTGTATGGCGCTGTCTGTATGAACTCCCTTGAAAGGATCCTCATGCAAGTAAAGTATGATACGTAGCACAGGGAATGCCTACGAGCCCCTTCGATTGGGAACCCGAACCCGACTCATAGAACCCTCGACCCCAAAACTGAGGCATCCTGAAGCTGCCCGGTTGGGTCGCTGGCGATGCCCTTGTCGGAGCTCGCGGCACCAGCTGCCCGGTTGCTTTGGGACGGGCTGTGAGCGGTTAAGGGCACTCGGGCTAACAGACCATCAACGTGGCCGAAGCTTGAATGAAACCTCGCCAAGGTACAGAGGGGAATGTTGCACCCCAAACCCGAAAATCTGGAGCACTGGAGCGACAATTCCGAAACTCTGCTCCTGCTCCCCTAAATATCTCCCGTACTTGTCTCTGATCCCCAACCCATTTCAAAAGCACCATGCTCTGCGCTCTGCCCTTTTCAGACAAAGCCTTGTAGAAGCTTCCGAGGAGGCCGCCTCCACGCGATTCTTCATGTTCTTTGCTGATACTTAATTTTTCGGAGTCTCGTGGTCTGACGAATTACTATTAGGGGAGGGACACTCGTAGGTTCAGGGAGTCATGGCGTGCGAATGACTGCTGTCGTGTTGATCTACAACACGTTTAGACTCAGACTGACCGTAGGAGAGCTTCAGCAAGAGGGGCTGTCGTGTCAGAGGTCTCGGGTCCTTATAAGTACTTTACGAGCACAAGCAGTCTTCTGCTTGGTGCGATAGTACGGTTGTGGGTGGTGATTCAGACCTCTCTTTCCATTGCGCAGACGTTGCCATTGCCACCATCCAACTCTTAGGGTTCGCGTCTGGGATTTTCAGGAGACCCCCAATGCGAGCACCCGCGCTTAAACCTTACCTTCTCATGGGCCCTGGGCAACCTACTCACTTCGATTCAGTCGTGCAATCCCCAAACCCAAATTAAGGCACGACTGGCAAAACTGCCGAGGCTTGCGCCACCACCGTCCGATACGGCGGAGTTGCTGGCCTTGTTGCTTCAGGGTTGAGTTGAGATGGCATGCTTCCCGCCGTCAACACCCGTGGGGTCAAGTCGTTACATGGAACGGAAACTTCGAAAAACAAGTGTGGCTCGTAGGTTAAGTTCTAGGAGCGGCGCAGAAGAAGTTGCTTTCCTCCAGGCATTAGACTCATTAGACATGCATTACTTCTCTGCCGAGTGGCACATCTCGCATCGCTGCAGCTGCCGATTGTGCGGCCTTCGTGTACACTGCGCTCATATGTGACGGTGAAAGACAGTAGGCGTAATGTAACTGTCCGGAGGACAGCGTGACGTACTGGCAGTGCATCTTGAAGCCGCGACGCACAGGGTTCCCATAATGCACCCTGACGACCGAACCGCTCGTGACCAGAATTAGCTCACTGCCGCTCATAACAAGTATGTTGCTTTTGATGATCAGGGCGACACTGATGGTGGTCTGTTGACCATGCCGCTGGTGGCAGCCAGTATACTGATGAACTACTGATGACATGAAAATGCCTCAGCACATGATCATGCAAGATTGCAACAACAAAATGAAGCTGGTTACACCGGCTCAACGCGTGAATCGGGTCATGGGCCCTATTACCAGCAAAGCTTGCTGGCAACACAATATTGACATAATGAACTTTTGGCCTGCCTTCGCAAGCCCTGCACAGGCTCAAAGCGGCCCGAAGATGGGCCTGAGGCACCTTTTCCGCCGCAGGAGTGCCAGCGCGCGCCGGGAGTGGCCAGCTGGAATTAAGCATCTGAGTGCGAAGTATGGATTGCATTGAAGGACAAGGAGTCCGGGATTTAAAGTTCCAGGGTTGCGAGTGGAGGTGGAGGGAGTGAGGATGAGACCGCTTGAGATCGGGATGTGGTTGGTCGAGTTCCGTGGGTCATACTCCCCCGAAGCACTGCGAACGGAGGTCGCTGACTGAGATTTAATAGTGTCGGTGGCGGAGGTGGTTGCAGTAGGATCAGGAAGTTGGTTGGAACTCGAGACACGAGACCCTAAACAGCCCTACACCCAATTCCTAACTCAGGTCATAGTTCATGCTGAGCTGGGTGCTTGCCCGTCGCCTCTCGCCGTGACGACTTCATGGCACATGTTCGAGCAGTGAGCAGTCTCGAACCCTTCCAGAGCATAAGCTTTGCCGAATAATATGTACATACATAGGCATGTTTATATACTCTTTCGTGTCTGTCCTTCCGTCAGATCGGTGATTGCTAAGGTGTCTACTGCTCGTGAGTTCTGCGGATGCGCTGGTACATATGCTTGCGGTTTCTGGTACGTCATATGGCCATTATTCGTGGTATTTCCTAGGGCGAGGAGATTCGAGAGACGTCTTAGCTGGTGGAAGGCCGCGACTCCAACCAATAGTTTTATGTGAACATCCGTAGGTAGAGTTCAACTATCTCACATGTGAGGTAGCTTCATCAGCTAAATGTGTAGTCATGCGTAATAACATCGCGATGTAAGAAACAAACATACCTGCATCCGTGCTTGGATTCAGGTACCTCTACGTTGAGAGCCGATGCTGACACGGCCGTAGGGCTAGTTCGGCTATTGGGATGTGGCTGATGTGGCGTGGGAGCTGATTTGTGCCGCCAATTGAATGGCGCGTGATACAAAGAAACAGCTGCTTTGAACCGCTTATTTCAAAAGACCCCAGTGTCCGGCCGACTCCTTATCTTCTTGTCTTCTCAGCCACGCCAACCACTGTAGACTTACCCAGCTCCGAAATTCAGAAATTCGGCAGCACATGAATGACATGAGCGGGCGCAGTATGAGTACATGATTGTAGCGGCTTGAAGGGTAGCTGGGTCTTCGCGAAAGAACCGACATATCATCAAACTGTCCAAAGAACCAGCAAGCATGGCCCCTTGTTGAGAAGTTGCTGCTGACTTTTCGAGCCCACCGCATTTGGGTTGGCTTCGGGTCACTATGAACACAGACAGCACGCCGGATGTTTCGTCGCACGTAGCGTGAAATGTACTGTTCTGCAAATATAAGCATGGCTCACCAATGCAAGTGCAGATACGATTGGTTGCATAAACTCAGAAGAAGGAAGCATTCGCAGAAGCTAGCGGATGGATGTAGCGTGTTGGTAAGCAGCTCTTCAGAATGTGACGATGCAGCATGAGGGCCTGAAGCTCACGAGTTCTTTCACTGATTTAGCCTCGGGTTAAGCTCGTTCGTCAAAACTGCGGCGTGCGTCAGACTGAGTTGTTGCGTAGTGCTCTTTGAGCGGCAACATAAGCTTTCGAATATCTGTGGTGCTAGAATCACTGGCCAGTAACTAAGGGAGGAGAATCGCTGAGTATGTTGCTCCTCCTTTGCACAACCTTTGAGGCAGATTCTACGTGTGCTGCGTAGCTGCAAAAAGACGATGCCATAACCACTCTGGGCATGTCTGCAACTCGTGCAACTGATACTTGACTCAGAAGCCTCACTGGTGCTAATGCTTCCTGAGTGAACAAGGGTGGGCGCAGAATGGACACAGGCTCAACTACGTGACTCAGCAACTCGGAGGCAGCAAGGGAATTTCCATGCCGTGGCTAACCAAAACGACTATGACATGAGCGGACCGAATGCAAGCTAAACCCGCAAGATGGCAAACTCGTGAAACCCAGCAAAGACTCTAGCTGAAACCTCGGCACTTCGTATTCAGCCACGGGACAGAGCAAGGAAGGACGCAACTCCTGCCTTGATCCATTTCGACACGGCCTGACCGCACCAGGTTCAATCAGGAAAATGCAGGATATGGCAGTGTACGGATGTGTACGACTTCTACGGTAATGTTCTCACACGTTGAAGCCTGTGGATTTTGAGGGGTGGGATTTGGTCAGTGGCTGCTTGCGGGCAGTAAGGAGCAGGAGCACGGTTCAGTTTCGCCCAAATTCGCATGCGCGGTCTGGCACAGATGATGAACCATTCAAATGTATCACAGGACAGCAGCGAAAAGGAACGAAAATGAAACCATGAACGTGCCAAGAATACACAAGCAAATCTAGCCTTCTGTGCAATACTAAATCCGGGCAGGGGGTTTCAGATTTACGGGTGAAAACTGGCCGCGCCAACGCCGCCAAATCCAAACATATCGGGGTTCTGAAGTACTACTACTATACTATTACTACTGCTACGACAACGGAAGCGGACGAAACACTTTGCGCACGCTGACTCGGCTGGCTATTTTTTGGCTCTTGTTCCGGTCTCCGACCATCGGCCCGGCGAGGGGGTTTCGGATTTATGGGTGAGGGTTGCCTCTGGTGAAAATCCAGACGTTGACTTCCAAACAAACTGCGCTTCACGTCACAGCTGAACAAGGTCATACAAGCCCATGGTAGCGCTATTCACACGTGATCGGCCACGTGGTGGGACACAGCAGTCCTTCGTATGTGGTTCTCCGAAAACTCGGTCAAAGTGGAAGACCCCGCCCCCATCCAAGCCGCTAAATGTACACTTATGATCATGGGTGCGGACTCGTTGCAATGCAAGCATGCATTTCGAGCTTGGTCTTGCTACTCATCGCAGTGCAAGAGAGGGAGGAAGATAAATAAGTTGAGTTGGTTTTTGTATTGGCGCATATTGGCGCCTGCAGCGACACAACCCACAGTTGCCTTCCCAAGAAGCAAGCAAATGAACGCTTTCAGTAGACACAGTGCATTTGCTATCCTGAACTAGCGTAACCATCAAACCAAACTGGATCTGTTTCGCGAAAGTGGGTGTAGGCCTATCACATGTGCAAAGGTCAGAAACGATATCTATGTTGTCTGCTGTGTCTGGTCATGGACGGGTCGTGAAGAGTTTGCGGGTTACTGTGTAGCCAGCCAGCCTCATTAAACAACTGAACACATAACAGTGCCCGGAAGGGGTAAGGCTTCCTGCGATATCCGAAGGCCTTGCACGGCGTGCACATATTTGAGGCCTTGCTGGTTCGACTGTATGTTGCACTTAAAGTTTGAAATAGCGCAGGGCTGTCCCGGATGCTGAAGCCAGGCAGTAGGAATTAACTCAAACACATGGGTATATATCCCGTTGTACTTGCTCACAGCTTTGCGAGAACTGCCAACATCGACGGTCAGGGGAAGGATTTTGTTTCTATGCAATGAGCCTGTGCTGTGACGTGTTTCTCATGCGCTCAAGTCCATACCGCCAAATAACCCAAACTAGAAAGCCTTAACATCGAGCCTGTGACTCTAAGTTGCTACATGGAATGTTTGTATTGCGCGCTGCCTGGTACTAGCATCAATGCTTGTGTTTTCCTGGCTCTTCTTCCTGACACAAGTGGGCCACTTAGCCACAGGATAACCTCAACGATGCTAGTTACGCTGCCCGTGAAAAGCTTGAGCCCCACATGGCTGATGATTTTCCTTATGAGCCACACACACACAACATACCTTCAAACAGCAATGCGTGTGAAAGGAAAACCGCCGCACAGGCAGCTTACTGCTCAGGAGAACACTGGCACGGTAGAATCTAACTCCCAGCCGACCGTGGACCCTTGGAGACTTCTCGCATGCTGCTGGCATGCAGTTGGATAGATTGCAGAAAACTTGATGGAAAACGTGTACCAAGAACTGCAGTTTTCTGCTGATGTTTTGAGTGTCCCGGGAAGAGCGCTTCATTGCGACTCATGGTGCATTGCAGCAGATTGCTGAGAACTGTTTCGGTTCCTTCCCACAGATGCTTCGACAATTTTGAACGGCACAGCCTGTGCCCGGCTGATATCTTTACATGCTTGCAGGTAAATAGTAGGAACCGCAAGTTGTCTGTGCTTCGCAAGTGTCTGCCATATTGTGCCATCAGCTTGCCAAAAATAGGCTGCTTAGAACAGTTCTACGGAAGACTGAATCGTATTAGTGCACTGACACCTTTCGGGCTTCGTTCCCTCCGGATGTCAGCCAGCTACATACAAACAGGCTGGCAAAAGACTTCCTGTGGAGTCGTTTCCCTTTTTTGTTTTTGTTTCGTTGTTGCCTTCAACTAAGTAGTTCATAATGAGCTGATTGCGTCCCGGATCCCGCTGCACACGCATAAACGCCAAACCCAGTGGGTCACTATGTGGAACCCCACATCGTGGAGTTCTTGCAAACCGGAAATCCAACAGTTGAAATTCTGGAATGCTTTTAGGAATCACCGGCATTCCTCCAGTTTTGCCCAAGCGGTTGGGTTTGTGGTTTTTGCGCTTTAAAACTGTGTGCAAGGTTCAGATTGAGTTTTGGACGGGTTTTGCGTCGAGGAATTATGGTTTCCTTATTTCTTTTGGCAAGTCACCTGTAGGGGCATCATTCCCATTGCGTTGAATGTGGTGTGAAGCACCGTTCAATCTCGCCTATGTCCCGCCGACAGTTGGGCAAAGATCGCCAGGTGTGAAACATGTGGGCACCGTTTCACCATTTTACACATGTGAACCGCTGCTTCGTTTCAGACATAAAGTTTGCAATCCTTTTCTTGAAGTTGCACCCGGACACAAGCCTTTGCGATCAAAAGCCTGGTGTAGCGCGTGGGTCCTTCGCCAATTGGGGCAGACATTCACGTTACGCTTTGGCAGGATGTTGTGCATAGGCCAAATGTTTCCAGCCTTGAGGATTGCCCAGCATGAAGAGTCATCATATGCAGACTTTGCATAATGTCCGTTCGGCCAAGAACACGCTGCAAAGCAACACGCGGATCGAAACGCTGTCCGCAAGCACCCCTGCATCCTGAAATGAGCACCGGAGTCCCACCGTGAGGTCGTGACAGACGGAGGAAATTTGGCATCGTGAATCAACCCGGGCTCCAAAATTAATCAGCTTGACCCTTAATTCGTTGATGTCACACCAGGTTCGTCAATAAACCGCCGAGTTCGTCAATGGAACCAACAGTTCGTCAATGAAGAGACAACTTCGTCAATGAGGGGCCAAAGTTCGTCAATATTGACGAATTTTAAAAGGCAGATTGACGAACTCTGACGGAACTTCCGTTGACGAACCGCCGAACCCATTGACGAATTGACGAACCCATTGACGAATTGACGAACCGTTGACGAACTGACGAACCATTGACGAATTGACGATCTCATTGACGAGTTGACGCCGCCGAAGACAAATTTCCCAGC